CCCCCCCCCCCCCCTCGCCCTCTCCCCGCCCCCAGCCGTTCAGCTGCCTGGCTGAGGTGCAATGGGGAGGGGGTGGAGAGAAAAAAAGGGGGGGGGTTTCCTTGATGGAAAGGCGTCAGTCATGTAGGTGGAAGCCAGGACCCATAACGGGATGATCTGTCGAAAGGATCAGGCCTCTGTCTGTGCCGGGGCTTTCCTCCTGGTACCGCAACAGCAGAGAGGGGAGCCCCAAGGGCAGGGGCGCATCCAGGCTCACCGGTGCCCTCAGCACTGACCCATCTCGGTGCCCCCCCTCCTTTCCACACTGACCCCCAGGCCATTTTAGTGGTTGACCTGTCTGACCAGATAGACAATGCAGGGTGCAGCAAGACAAACATCTATTCATAGGGGTTCTGTAATCCTGCACATCTTCATGGGTGCCAAGTTAGCAGTTGTGTTTTGCATTATCTGAGACACGGTCTGAGGTGTAAAGAAATACTACTCCACAGGCTTTGCTACACCATTTGCATTTCTTTCCTGAATCAGGTAATACATTAAAGAATTTTTTTTTGGGGGGGGGGACATCTATTCATAGGGTAACACAATAGACTGTACCAAAACTAAGCTTTTCACCCTTTTCCCAACTTTGTGGTGCCCCCTGTGGCCCTGGGGCCCTAAACAGGTGCTTGGTCTGCTTCACCTACAGAGCCTTGCCTGCCCATTGTTTCCTTCTGAATCCAGGTACCTATGGTGGAATAGAGACTGGTGGTAAAGTCAGATAGTCTTATTGTATGAAGGGAGATGGCAAAACTTAAGATTAGAGGCAAGGGTGCTACAGTCAGTGTATGAGGCAGCTGTATGTATCATGGCTGATGAAACGCCTGAGATCAGAGCAGACGGCAGTCATAATAATAAGTGGCTAGCACCAGGGGCGGATTAAGGCTCACCGGTGCCCTCAGCACTGACCCATCTCGGTGCCCCCCCTCCTTTCCACACTGACCCCCAGGCCATTTTAGTGGTTGACCTGTCTGACCAGATAGACAATGCAGGTTGCAGCAATACAAACATTTATTCATAGGATAACACAATATCCTATACACAATACAAACTAAGCCAAGCTTGGGCTACATAAAGTTCTACAGAAATGCAATGCAACAGCTGTTTTAATATTTCACAAGTTAAATGTGTCAAAGTTCCAATATTCATGACCCGAAAGGCATTTTTCTACATTTCACTTTCGCAAAATCACTGATCACCTCCTCGAAATGAAGACCTCTCAGAATGTTTGCGTCATGTGTTAATATACACAGTGAGCTGAGTCTTTCTTGAAGCATAACTGATCTGTTTGGGTTTTTTACACGTTTCAGTTGTGAGAAAGACCTACAAATCTTCATTCTTTTTTTTTCTTTTCACCCTTTCCCCAACTTTGTGGTGCCCCCTTTGGCCCTGGTGCCCTAAGCACGTGCTTACTCTGCTTAATGGTTAATCCGCCCCTGCGCAAGGGCTTTCATGAAAACAAAGGTCAGAATAAGTTTTTGAAGTAAGAGGGAAGGAAGGTCTGCAAGATACTAACAGATTGCCGTTCAGACGCACCTTTTGATCTGGTATCGTGACAGTTTAGCAACGGATTTTATCTGCAGGATCACACAGCCAACATCTGCCTCCCATCCCCAGCCCTTGGATTCCAGCTTTAACCCGGAGTATTTTGTTACCAGGTCCCAAAGTGGTGTTTTCTCAGCTCTCCTGTTTAAAGCTGCGTTTCCCCCCTCTGTGATCGCTCCTCCAGTGTTGAGCCACTTCCGGTTTAAACCCCCTCCCCGCTGAAAAGCTGCCCGAGGCTTCTGCTTTTCGCCTGCCATTTTTTTAATGCGTTGGCTGTGTGCGCATAGGTGAAGCTCCGCTACCGTGTTTAGAAAACCAACATTTAAACGGTCACTTGTTTTAGAGCTTAGATGAGTTCGGGATCTCATGGAGGCCATTTTTGGGTCAAACTTTTAAAGGGAAGTCTTTTGTTGGAGGGGTTGGATTGATTCGCCCTGGTGGTTCTACGGATGAGCGCCTATGAACATGCGCAAACGGAGGAAATTTTTTTTTAAACGCTGACATGCTCCCGCGCGTCGGTAGTGTAGATGCCAGGGAGCGTCATGACTGCGCAGTGAGGCGGGATAAGGGATGTAAGTGTGATCGCGATTATCCAGATCAAATATAATCCGGTTAGAACCGGAGCAGTTTAACCCGCTCTCATCACGCCGTCTGACCGCACCCACAGACCCATCTTGCGTACATCTTTGGTTTAACTACTAGACGTGGACTTTTCTGTATTCATGACGATGACGGCTTAGGTTGTCTTTTTGATTTCAGGTCAGAACCCAAGTGCTGTGGATGAGATGATAGATATGGACAACAAGCTCATGGCAGAAAACCTAGCCACTAAAGTCACCAGGCTAAAATCGGTTTGTTGATTGTGTAATTTAATTGCTTTTTAAATCATGAATGTTGATTCACACAAGTTTTCTAATATACGGCTGTGGGGAAACGGGAAGGGGCCAGTGATGCTCCTGTTTGCATTTGCCATGGTGCTGGCCTCAGCAGCTGATATAGTCTTGTGTTTGCAATGCTTACTGATCCAAAGGAGCTCCTGTTTCTAGAAGATACCAATTGCTTCTTTCTGTATCTTAACAGCTTGCCCTGGACATTGATAAAGATGTTGAGGATCAGAATCACTATGTGGATGGGATGGTAAGAAACTACTTACATCACATACAGAATTATTAGTGAAGTTCAGAATGTATATATATGCCCTGCCTGTGTGATGATAAAGAAACAGGCTTTTTATGTGGGAAGGGAAGAAAGAATAAAACACATTTCACTGTCCTGTGGTTCTGTCCTTCTTCCAGAGAGTTGTGGATTTTAACTTCCCACTGCCCTCCTCTTTCCCCTACCACTTTTTTATCCAAGAAGAATGAAGTTATACTATTTCATCTTCAAGGGGAGGGAGGGGTAAAGATGGCATTCGGAGGAGATGACTTTCTTCTGATAAACAAGTGTTCAGTGACATGAAGCTGGGTGGGATTGCTAATTCTGAAGAAGACAGAGTCAGGATTAAAAATGATCTAGATAGGCAGTGGACTGAGACAAATAAAATGAATTTCAATAGAGAGATGTGCAAAGTCCTACACTTAGGTACAAAAAATCAAAGGCACAGATATAGAATGGGAGGGACTTGGCTTGACAGCAGCACATATGAAAGGGATCTAGGTGTTCTGGTTGATCACAAGCTAAACATGAGCCTGCAGTGCGATGTGGCTGCGAAGAAAGCTAATGCAATCTGCATTAACAGAAGCATTGTGTCCCGATCACGGGAGGTTGTAGATCCGCTCTATTCTGCTATGGTCAGGCCTCACCTGGAGTCCTGTGTCCAGTTTTGGGCACCATATTTTAGGAAGGATGTTGACAAGCGCGAGCGTGTCCAGAAGAGGGCAACCAGGATAGTGAGAGGGTTGGAATCCAAGTCTTACGAGGAAAGGCTGAAAGAGTTGGGTATGTTTAGCCTGGGAAAGAGAAGGCTTAGAGGGGACATGATTGCAGTCTTCAAGTATTTGAAGGGCTGTCATGTAGAAGATGGAGCGGATCTATTCTCTTGCTCCGGATTGCAAGACTAGGTCTAATGGGTGGAAATTACAAGGGAGTCGTTACCGGCTAAATATCAGGAGAAGCTTCCTAACTGTAAGAGTGGTTGAGCAGTGGTGCTCCTTCGGTAGACATTTTCAAGCTGAAGCTGGACGACCATCTCTCGGGTATGTCGTAGGGCTCTCTTTCGGCTATGCTCCTGCAGAGTGCAGGGGGTTGGACTAGATGACCTGCAAGGTCCCTTCCAACTGTTAACATTCTATGAGTCTATGACCCAGTATATAATAATAAATGTATTATGACATTATTTTGTGTGATAAAGACCTTTCCAAATGTTGTGAATTTATTTTGGTCTCTCACCCCCGAAATGAAAAACACAAGGGTTAAACGAAGGTTTAATTTTAAAAGCTGAATAATTCAGCCGCCCCTTCTATTACTGTGGGCGCCCTTAAGAGGCTATCCAGCAGGTTTGCCTGCATATGGGCAGCAGCCCCGTCCTGGTTCCAAACCACAAGTGGGAATCTAGCTGCTCTTTGGTTATCTTTACCTGCACACCAGGGTTGTGCTGAGAGGGGTTCTCCATCAGGGCCGCTCACCTTTCGCGGTGCAGCAGGAGGGTTCAGGGCACGGATGGCCAGTGCCAAAAGAGTCCCCTCCCTTCCCTAGTATGTGGACCAGACAGGCCAAAGTATGCCTCATTTGGTTAGCTCTCCCTGTTACCTCAGACGTCCTAGCTGATTACTAATCTACCAGGCAGCCTCACTCACTTACCACCTTATTTAGGGCCTTACCAGTCTACCAGTTTACCAGGCGAACCTAAACAGCATGATAAAAAGTAGGGACATCACCCTGCCAACAAAAGTCCGCATGGTCAAAGCAGTGGTATTCCCAGTAGTCATGTGTGGCTGCGAGAGTTGGACTATAAGGAAGGCCGAGCGCCGAAGAATAGATTCTTTTGAACTATGGTGCTGGAGAAGACTCTGGAGAGTCCCTTGGACTGCAAGAAGATCAAATCAGTCCATCCTAAAAGAAATCAACCCTGACTGTTCCCTGGAAGGCCAGATAATGAAACTGAAGCTCAGATACTTTGGCCACCCAATGAGAAGACCCTGACGCTGGGAAAGATTGAAGGTCAAAGAAGACGGGGACGGCAAAGGATGAGATGGTTAGACAGTGTCATCGATGCAAGGAACATGAAATTGAGTGAACTTCAGAGGACAGCAGAAGACAGGAGGGCCTGGCAGGATCTGGTCCATGGGGTCGCGAAGAGTCGGACTCGACTGTGCGACTGAACAAAAACCAGTTTACTCTTAGGAGGCCTCTTTCAGGCTTACCAAGTACTTACTGTGATTTGGCAGGGGATACATAAGTCTCCCCAGGACCATTCCCGGGCGGACAACAGACGCGCGGCACCATGCCATCACCAGGAAGTGACGCCGGGCGATGGTACCATCGAGTTTCCAGCCCCATTGTCAGAGTGTCGCCCAGCGTCACTTCCTGGCGATGGCATGGTGCATTACAGGGAGGAATGTTCCGGCCGGGGAGCATGTGAACCCCGCCAGATCGTGGTAAGTACTTGGAAACCCTAGCCTCTTTACAGAGCAGGTGAAAAAAAAGGCCTTTCTCAAAGGCAGTTAGCGTCCAGGAAAATTCCTGTTCGGCCCGAAGCAACCAGCTTTTTCCATACTGTGAAACTGGGAAAGGAGAGTTGGGTAGTTCCCCCAAAAAGGCTGGCTCAAGGGCAGGCAGGCTTTATGTAGCCAGCAAACAGCTGGTGATTAGCTGAGCGATTAATCTGCGCCGTCACCCCACCAAACGGCTGTGTCTTTATTTTTAAGATTGGGGAGTGAACAAACTGCAGCTCCCTTCCCCGAGGTGGGAACTGACCCAGGTGGGAAGTACTTCCATGTGGGGGAAAAGTGCACAACCCACTATAAGTAATGAAAATTGCACAGAAGTTAATCCATGTGCATGCATTCTACGAGGCTGTTGCTAGCTGTGGCTTCCCAGCACTTAACGCACTCAGCAGAATGCTTGTATGCGCAGCTTTTGTATTTGTCTTCGGCATTCACACTTTAAACTCTATCCATTGCACCGTGCTGAGAAACTGAAACTCAAGTTTCTGTTGAGCTTTGAAGCTCAAGTCATTTTCTCTGTCAGGTTATTGTAAAGATATCTGAGGTAACATTGTCTACATTAAGAAGAGCTGTACAATTGTTTGATTTAAGAGTCTTTTAAAATGTATCTGTCTTTAAATTTGTGTACAAGTGTTTGCATTCAGTCTCCTTCTATTATTTTACAGTTTTGAGTGGAACTGGTGTTGCTGAATTTTCTGCCCTTGAAACCTATATGAGGCTAGTTCCTCTAAAAGGGATTTATAAAAATATCCTGCTTGTGTTGATTTGCAGTTTTCAGGTTAGCATTCTCTGCTGCTATCCAGTGAAAGGATTCTGTTTTGACAAGCAATGTCTTCTAAACCTCTCATTTTGCTCCTCTTTGTTCCAGGACACAGACTTCATGAGTGTGACAGGTCTTCTGACAGGCAGTGTGAAACGGTTTTCCACCATGACTCGTTCCGGAAGAGACAATCGTAAACTCCTGTGTTATGTCTCTGCTGGACTGGTTGTTGTCTTCTTCATCCTTTATTATTTGGTGACAAGAACACGGACTTGAGGGAGTGTAAAGATGCTGTGTTGGAATGTGTGTTGGGGGGGTGGTGGACAATGAAGTACTTTCACGTGTATTTCCTGGGAAGGCTTGTTCATGTGTTCACAGTAATCTAAAGACCACAGTATGGTCTCCAGCCCCCTTTCAGGGTTGCTTTGAGATGATCTTTTTATTTTTAGAAGGATATTGTTCTGCCATTCTCCCTTTGAAAGTTTACAGCATAATTCACATTGTTGAAATGAAACCTTCATATATCCCTTTTGGGGGGGGGTACAGAGAGAAGAACACGGCTGATGCCTCCTATGATTTTGCGATTCAGCAAGAAAATCTTGACAGTAGCAGAAATGTGTTGCTTGGAGGAATGCGATACTAGGATTTGTGCATCTCCTAAAAACTGATCACTCTCTGGAGGGAACTTTTTTCCTTGCAAAATTCATTAACTTTTTTTTACTTCTGGAAACACAAGCTTTTATAACTACCATAACAATCCTTGTTGTCATTCTCTAGACTTACTTGTCAGAATAGAATT